CAAAAGCTTAAGACCGGCTATAAAACAAACAGAAGTTAGAAAAGTGGCTTACTTATGTATTATTTTATTTCCTCTGGAAACACAGCAGGTTTGTATACTTTGGAGGCTTGGTTATAACCCAAAGTAATAGATAGGGTATGTGTGTAATTTCTACATACAAAAGAAAGTTCTTCCTTGAGGAGAAAAAAAAAAAAAGCCCTTTATTATTCATTTGTTTAATTTGGGAATTGATTTTCAAGTTTGTGGCAAGTTCTTTGAGTACTTTCAGTGGGGAAAAGACCTCAGACTTTGAGGATGGGACTTGGAAAGCTCAGTCACAGAATCAGCTCTAGATCTTAAAAATAAAGTGGGTAGGGCCCTCCCTGGTGGCACAGCAGGTTAGAGCACAGCACTAAGAACCTAAGCTACTTCAGCATGTGTTCGATCCCCGCCCCACATGGCGCAGCAGACCTCTCCTGACCGCCCGCTGCTCCCTCTAGCAGTGTAGTTCATCAGTCAGCCTGTTCTGCTTCCCACTCTGTCGCTGGTGAATCCTCTCACCAGAGTATTCTGCCCCTGCACCTCTAGCCTGTACCCCAGTGCATAAATAAATAAATCTTTAAAAAATATATAAAGAAATGAAGTGGGTAATCAGGCATGGTAAAACTTGGTGGGTCAAAATAAAGCTTAGATAAACAACCCTATTTAAAAAATGACTAAAGGATTTTAATTTTTTTTCTTTTTTTTTTAAATAATAGTTTATTTTACATCATTTTGTGCATTTTCCCATCTCAGTTGCAGTCCCCGTGGGCTTCCCATCACCAATCACCCATGTACCGTCACCAAAGTCCAGTGCATTAGGATTTTAATTTCTAAAGAATATATATAAATAGCCTATAAATACAAAAAAAGGTGCTCACTGTCATAGGCAATTAGAAAAATGCAAATTGAAAACCCAAACCACAATGAGATACCACATCATGCATGTTGGGATGGTTGTAAGCACAGACAACACCCAGCATCCAACAAAGAGGTGAAGTTGGAACCCTCATATATGTCAAAGGAGTAGAAAATGCTGCTAGTATATAAAAGGGTGCATAAGCTTTGGAAACAGTCTGGCAGTTACTCAAATAGTTACAGCATTTCCAGTGCCTATTTAAAATAGTACTGTTAACTATAGCCAAGGCTGAAAAATAATCTAAATGTCCATTAACTGTTAAATGGATAAATAAAATGTGGTATATTCATACAATGGAATATTACTTGGAAATATAAATAGAAGTGAAATGCTGCCACATACTTTAAATAGGTGTAAATTTAAAAAATATTATCCAAATGAAAGAAGTCAATTGACAAGACCACAGGTTGTATAAATCTATTTATAGAAAATGTCCAAAATTGGCAAACAGGCAGAGAGTAGATTTGTTGTTTACAAGGGCTGGTCGTTGTGGTGCTAGGAGGAAGTGTGGAGTGACTGTTAATGGGTATTGGATTTCTTTTTGGGGTGATGAGAATATTCTAAAATTAATTGTGGTTATGGTTGCCCAACCCTGTGCTTACTAAGTCAATGAATTGTATACCTTTAAGTAGTTAAATTGGATGGTATGTAAATTATATCTTGAGAAAGACATTAAAAGCAAGTTTTTGTTATAAATTCATGAGGTTGATTTAATTTTGTGGCTTCCATTACTGATAGCTAAGTATATTCTAAACTTACTACCCCTTGGTACTGAGTGATTTATGTATTTCAACTCATTTAATTATCACAAAATCCATGTGAGGTGACTAGATTTACTGATTTCCCTTTCACACATCAGGAAATTGGAAAGTAGAGAGATCAAGTAACTTCTCTGAAGTAACACAGTAATCAGGCTGTAAGTATTAGAACTGAGGTTTAAAACTCTAGCCTGGAAAGAGTAAAATTCACTTTTTCTCCCTGTTTATTTTTTACATTTTTAATTCTGTTAAGTAGTCAATGTACTCACGTTAAAAAAAAAAAAAGTGACACAGAAGGCATTCATTCTCCTTCCATCCACTGTTCCCAGAGTGCAATGGCTATTAGCTTTTTGTGCATCATTCAGTGTTGCAATATAAACAGCATATAAGCATGCATGGTATTGCTTCTCCTTTTATCATTCACAAACTAGCACATTCATCTGCACTCTCCATCTTGTTCCATTCATTCCTCATGGCAGCTCCAAGATCCTTCCACATTACTGTCCTTCGTGCTTGTGTATAACAGACTTAGCTGTTCTCTAAAGATGGACACTCTGGTTCTTCCTACACTGATGCTATTCAGTCAAAGTTTGTCTTTCAAAATTTCCTTCAAAGGCAAGATGGAAATTTATAAAAATTTAATCATTTTTAAAATAAATCCCTTCCCTCAAAAAGTCGCTACTTTGAAGGCAATCACTCCCATTTTAATGTGTTATTAGTTGGGAAATCTTTGTTAAAAACAAACAAAATCAATTGTATTAGATCAGAGTAAGAGTGTAAATTATTAGGAAGGAAGCTCAGGGAATTCCAGAAACTAACATTCTGAAACCTTTGTATTTTTTCTATGTGTTTATTTCTACTGATTAATATTTGCAGAGATGAGAACTCAAATACTCAATATTGAATCACATATCACCCTTATGATGAACTTCTATAAGGTGTGTACATATATGTGTGTGTGTGCATGAATTATATGTGTGTAGTCACACACACACATGTAATTCAGGCCAGTTGACTTGGGTGGATTGGAATTCCAATTCTTATTATAGCAAAGGTAGACCCAAAATATTTTAAGGCAACCCCAGCTGTTTTTAGAACTTCTATTATCAGCCAAGAAAAGTAATTTAACCAATTTTTTTCTAAAGAAATCATCATTTCAATGAATCTATTCATTTTCTAAAGACCGGCCAACACGAAATGAGTCTGAACATTAGCATGTAAAGGACACACAATAAAAAAGGCACTGTCAGTGTAGAAAAAATTTCCAAGAGCTAAAGAACGTGATCTCTTCTACAAGAAATAGTAAGAAAGAATTCAAAACACACAGCTTTCCAAAGCTAGAGAAAGTAACAACTGAATTGAAAAGGCTGAACTTAGCATTACCTTCCCAGAACACAAACATACATTTAGCTTAATAGACTTGAGTACTATCTCAGAAAAAATCTTATATATTATGCATCTAGGGCAATGGAAGTTGTATAAAACGATTCTGCAAAGCAAACAGTGCAGGCTGACAACAGCAGAGGGAAAACGTGTCTGAGGAGCAGGTGCTAGGGTTGGGTCTTGTTGCACATGGCCACACACAAGGAATACAACATTGCTGAGGCCATGTCAGCCACTAAATAGACCCGGGTGGAACTCGTCCTGTGGCTGCAGCTGAAAAAGTGTACCTTTTCTGGTTTCAACTGTAATATAGATTTATGCTAAAAATTTGGAAAATTGGAAAAAAAATAAAACAAAATCATTTGCCACCCTGCCATCCAAAGAAAATACCAAATATTGGCATATCCACCTGTAGTTCTTCTAAGTGCCTATCAAAGTTTTTTGGTTTTATACATGGCCCTTTACCACACTTCCTATTACTTCTGAGTATACTTTCACATGTTATCAAGTGTTTTTGGAAGATACGATTTTAATGACTGCATTATCCTATTATTTCATGAATTAAAGCCAAATTCTTTCTTTCTTTCCAAACCGTGGTATCTCTAGGTTGTTTCTAATTAAAATTATTCAGTGTTATAAATACTACTGAGATGGATTTTCTTGTGATGAACCTTTGAAACTTCACTCACTTCTTAAAAGAAACCTAAAAATGGACCAGAATGACAGATGCAAATATCAATCACACAGAGTGCCCATGCCTCAGCATTTACCATTGACATCTCTGGAGACAAGATGCAGATGATGCCGATCAAATAAACTCTACTAGTTCCCTCTCGCACAAGGTTCTGTATTTGCCTTTTCAGGTCCATCATCTTTCAGGGAGCACATCGCCTCCTCTAGGCAAATGGACTTAGTACTGGTTTAATCTAAACCCGAAGCGTGGCTGGCACAGATTTCTCTCATGTCAGCATGCACTCCATTACGATCGCCAAGGCTCCCCGAAATGCATATGTCATCAGCCGTTCACTTAAAGCAGTGTACAATGAACATTCAAACAAAATAAAGAAAGCATTAGAGCAATGGAGGCTGACAGCAACCCAATAATATGTAGACTTATGAGCCTACTTAACTTACTACTTACATACAGCACCACTTAAGATTTTCTTCAAATTCTAGTGTTATTCAATTCTATCCAGTTGGAGTTCATAAATGCTATCAATGTTTTGAAGTTATTAATGATTCCTAACTAGAACTATATTGTCTCTTCCTATTCCAATGTTTAATTTCCTACTACACTACCCTAAAGCATAACTTTAGAAATGGTTGTACTTTCAAGGCACCTGATAAAGTTCTCACAACTGAGGGAGAATATATACACATATATAAAAACACAGACCTCTAAAATGTTTTGTTTTTTCTTTATCTCTCATTAGTAAGCAAAAATCAAGTAAAACAAACAAACAAACAATCCTGTTTAAATCACTGGTCACAGGAGGCAGGCAATCACCCAAATACGCCAATTCCCAAGCCTCCGCAGTACTGGTAATCACAAAAAGACAGCGAGGCCGCTGGGTGTGCCTGGGACAGTTGTGCAGGCTGACACTGCACGTCTCGGGGGTGAACTGTATCCTGACCCATGCGGGGGTGTACTTTAGGCTTGTGAAGTGCACGACATCGCTGGAACTGTAGTGACGACCTTCAATTTAGCTTTCAAATGTCTGTTTGTTCATTACTTAGTTATGCTTCCTCCCCTTTAGTAGTCTGCAAATGATAGTGGCCATAAATCTATACGCCTTTGTTTTTAAATAAGGAAATTGTACCAGGAAACACTAACCGTTTGCTCCAGCTCCCTATTGTCATGATGATAAGGATTTCTTTCCTCCCACTTCCCCTTCCATCCACCCCAGGAAGCCACAGGGTACCTTGTGTGAGCAACTGTAGGTTTCTGACTTCTTCTCGCACCTTCAGCTGGAGCACCTGTTGTAAGATGTGCTGCCGGAGGTTCTCCTGTGCGATCCCCATTCTCTCAAGCTTTTTGTCAGTAAGTCTCAGCAGGGCTCGCCCTGCGGGGTTTTAAGACATAAAAAGAAAAGCAAATGAACAATGGCTGGAGAAGTATTTCCATCTCAGTGTTGGCTAATCCTGCCATAAAGGAAGTTTCCATCTAAACACAGATGCTTAGAATAGAGAGCCCACTCTTATTCTTGTTGACAGGAATGGATAATCCGGATGAAGAAAAATCTATGAATTTTAAAAAGAATCCCACTTTTAAAAAATCTCCTATTAGCAATCCCCAACTGACCCACACATTGAGTTAGATAAAATCACAAACTGTTAACCTGGGTATTTGGGTCACAGATTGCAGGTTTCCATAGAAACACTCCTTGTCTTGGGGTGATGGGTTCTGAGATGGCCCAGAGGACCTCATGCTACTGACAACAGCTGACAGACTGGAGGATCTAACTCTGGTTAATAAAGAAACTCCCGGAATGCTCACCCCAGGTTACAATAACATGTCTGAAAAAACTGCATTTCAAGTTTCAGGTTTAATCTGCACGCATTCAACACCCCTGCTGCACCCTTGGTCTGGCTGGAGTTCCAAATGGTGGGGGCTGTGCCTTCGTCACAGCCTCAAGGGTTCCTGCAGGGCTGAGGGGGAGAAAGGCAGGGTGAGGGAGGGCATCAAAATATTATAAAAGGTGGAGCCTTGGACTGTAGGTGTCTGTAACGTGGAGCCACACTGAGCCCTGGACAGCCAGGCACAGCCTCCTTAGAAGGAGGCCCTGGCTCAGTCCAGAAGGTCTGCATGATGTCCTTGCTACAGTGTTTCTGCCAAATTCTCCCATGGTCCCATCTCTTGGCATATTTTCATTGAGATAGGGTATCAAACGCTCATTTGGAGCTTAGCACAAGAAATAAAGAAACTGACCAAGGCCCCCGATACTCTCCAGGAGTCCTCCCTCATGTTCCTATTAGCAATCCGAGAGATCTCTCCTCTTTCAACTAATGGAAAATACAGTTAACTAGCTGTGATCAAAGATAAGTATTTGGGTAGATTACCACATATGCTTTAGAAAAGTAAGGCTCTAATTTCTCACAAAGGAAACCTAACAAACAGAAGGTAAGTTTTAGGGGCATTTTCTTTTTTAAAGATTTATTTAGTTATGCATACAAAAATGAGGAACAGGCCAGAGGTGTGTGTGTGTGGGGGGGGGGGAGAATTCACCAAAGACAAAGTGGGGAGCAGAACAGGCAGACTGACTGAAATACACTGTTGAGGGGAGCAGCAGGCAGGTCAGGAGAGGACCCAGCTGGGACCACTCTTCTTTTCTTGTTAATCTATAGGAAAAATTTGGTTACATGCTGCAGTAACAAAGAATGCTACAATCTCAATGGCCGTAATGTCTATCTCTTGCTTATTCCACGTGGTAACTGCAAGTACGTCCATCTTGACCATTGCTGAACACTGTAGCAGAGCGAAAAGAGAAGATGCTAGAAGATCTCATGCCATCCCTTTTATAGGTCACTGGTGGAACTGAAGAACTGTGCAAAGGGGCCATGCGTGGACTGCAGCTGACCATGTGCCAGGAAGACAGTGGAAGGACAGTGCTTGATGGGGAACACTGCTGAGCATTACACCAACACAAATTAGCTTTGGATCAGTGCCTGGACCAGAAAGGGGGGTGTGATGTTTGTGGTGGTGGTCTTTGGCTTCAGTATAGTTTGCATCTGGAAGAGAAAGGAGAGGTAGGAGGAGGAGAAAAGGAATTCCAGGTAGCTCTAGCTCAGTCTTGGAAAATAGCAGACAGGTCATGGTGTCATGAGAAAGAAAGGGATGGCTAAGCACAGACTCACTGAGTTCCATTTGTCTTCTATAACAAGCAGAATTATGTCCTCCATTTCCCCATCTCTGGAACCAGGGGATTAGCTTCCTAACATGACAAAAGGAACCTTGCAAAAGTGAGGATCTTGATGACATATTACCTGGCATTACAGAGGGGTCCAATCTAATTAAAGTTCCCTTATTAGTGAAGAGAGGGAGACAAGAGAGACAGATATAAGAGGAGACAATAGAAACAGAAGATGGAGTGATAAAGCCAAAGAATTCAGGCTTCTAGAACCTGGCCAAGACAAGGAAGTAATTCTAATACCTTGCAGAAGGAATGTGGCTCTAATAACATCTTGGTTCTAGCCCCATATGAACCGTTTGGAATTCTGATATCCATGGCTGTACAAAATAAAATAAATTTGTGTGGTTTTCAGCTTCTAAGTTTGTGGTAACATTGTTAAAGCAAAAACTGGCATTGTGAGCAGAAATCACACATTTTTAGGAAGTCAAATCAATGGATGATTTTTAGATTTCCATTCCAGTGGCTTTACCAGTCCCTGGAAGTGACATTCTGCAAGGTGCAGTGAGCCTAAAGCCCAGGTCTCTAGGACAGACCTAGCTTCAAAGGTTCCACTCACTGTCAGACCTCTGACCTGAAGTTTTGTCCCACAGAGTGGGACACAGATATTTTTATAGAGAGAACAGGCACCGAACGATAGGCATGTAGCTCTTTATACATGGCCTCAACTTACAATATGGCATACAAAATTCCCTGAGGTTCAGATGATTTAAAAACCTCCACACACCAAGTGTGGGTCACCTTCTCTCCTTTCTGCTCCCCATTACTTGGGCTGCAATTTCACAAGTTGTGACATTGAACAGTTGGTGCTGCTTAGGTTTCAGTAAAACACCTGGGTCGCTGGCCTAGGGCAGGCACCTGGCTGCTCAGCTCAGCACAATGATGACAGTCAGTGAGGGTTTTGTTCCGAGGTGTATGGCTGGACTTCTTTGTTTGAAGACTCCCTGGAGACCTCTAGCCTCAGCTTTTCCATCAATGTTCTGACTGTTAAAGTGTAGATACTTAAGCCCTGACAGAAGGTTATTTATTTCGGTGGATTAACAGCATGAGGTCTGAACATACAAGCTATACAAATCTGTGTCTTCTCCGAATCCCGAGACTGTAGATATTGTGATATATCCATTTGTAGAAGGAAAAACTGAGAAATTGAGTATTTAAAATATGAGTGTTTTTCCTGACTCTTCCAGTGTTTGGTTGTTCTTTACCAATGGAGAAAAATAAAAGGCTTAGATGGCAGAAAGAAAGATTAAGGACAGATTGTACACAAGAACTTCTTGATAAAACAATTTCTAGGAACGATCATTATCTACAAAATGAGGATGTAGGAATGAAATTTGGTTCACTATCTTCCTGGGTTTCTATAACTCCCCCAAGGCTTGTGGTTCTGAAGACTCTCTACAGTAATTAGATCATTTCCAAGAGCCAATGTCCCATCAACCTGCTCTTTTGCCACCTTCTGTTGACCATAAAATAGTATCTAAATAAATGTGATGATGTTTTTGAAGCAGGTATCCAGGAAGTGACAAATAATCATTTTTCAAATTGTATTTTTTTTTACAGTTTATGTTGTCACCTTTTGTTGCCTATAAAAATTCAACTGCTATACAAGGAATCCAAATAGGGAAAGAAGAAGTAAAACTGTCCTTATTTGCAGATGATATGTTAATTTTTATGGAAAACCCTAAAAACTACACAGAGAAAATAATCAAAACTATCAATCAGTCTGGTAAGGTAGCAGGATATAAAATTAACACACAAAAGTCAAAGTCCTTCCTATCCACAAACAACCAATCAGAAGAAGCAGAAATTAAAAAAAAAAATCCCCTTGTCAATTAAAACAGAAAGAATCAAATACCTGGGAATCAACCTAACAAAAGAGGTAAAATTACAAGACACTGTTAAAAGAAATTCAAGAAGACACCATGGAATGGAAAGACATCCCCTGCTCATGGATTGGGAGAATTAACATCATCAAAATGGCCATCCTATCAAAAGTGATACAGATTTAATGCCATCCCAATTAAAGTCTCAATGACATTCTTCAGAGAAATACAAAAAAATATTGATGAGATTCATATGGAACCACAAAAAGACTTCGAATAGCCAAAACTCTCATGACTAAGAAGAAAGAAAATGGAGGCATTACAATCCCAAATTTCAAGCTATACTACAAAGCCATAATAATTAAAATTGCATGGTACTAGAACAAGAACAGACACCCAGACCAGGGGATTCAAGTAGAAAACCCAGATATAAACTCCAGTTTTATGGGCAGCTAGTCTTTGACAAAGGAACAAAGAAGATACAATGGAACAAAGAACAAATGGTGCTGTGCTGGGAAAACTGGAAAGCTACATGCAAAATAAAATGAAACTAGATCACTACCTCGCACCATACACAAAAATCAACTCGAAGTAGATTAAAGAACTAGACATAAGAACAGAAACCATAAAATACCTGGAAGCAAAGATGGGTGAAATACTACATGACATACACTTCAGTAACATCTTTGAAGATACAACACCCAATGACAATGATAGTGAAGGCAAGGATAAACAGATGAGACTACATCAAGTTAAAGAGCTTCTGTACAGCAAAAGAGACATTACAAAAAAAGACATCCCACTGATTGTGAAAAAATTTTCTCCCACAAAACTAGCGATAAAGGATTGATCACAAAGATATACAAAGAACTGATGAAACTCAACAAAAATAAACAACCCCATCAAAAAAAAAAAAAAAAAGGCAGAAGAGCTAACAAGACACTTCTCCAAAGAGGAAATTCAGATGGCCAAAAAGCATATGAAAAAAATGTTCAACATCATTTGTAATAAGGGAGATGCAAATTAAAACTACAATGAGATACCACGTCACCCCAGTGAGAATAGCACATCTTCAAACAACTAGCAACAACAAATGTTGGCAAGGATGTGGAGAAAAAGGAACTCTCCTGCACTGCTGGTGGGAATGCAAACTAGTACAACCACTATGGAAAACTGTTTGGAGGTTCCTCAAATTGCTAAATATGAAGATTCCATATCACCCAGCAATTCTATTGCTAGGTATCTATGCAAAAGACACAAAAGCACTGATTCAAAAAGATACCTGCACCCCCATGTTTATTGCTGCTTTATTTACAATTGGAAAGACATGGA